GGTTACTGGAATATAAAGAGAGATCTCAAATATGGTATCTAGGATTAGTAAAATTACTACTATTACAGTAAAAATTACCAGATACTAATCAAGAGATGGATGAAATGATTAGTACCCAAGAAAGGGACCAGGACTGGTAGAGTGCACTAGTTTATTAAATCTGACTACTACTCACAGTCATGAACACTATACTAGACCTCACTTTGGAAGGCCTATACCAAAAGATTTCACAGAGCTCTCACTGAGGCTAATTCATTTCAGGAGGTACCAGAGGAACATTCCATCATTGAGAAGACTTTAAGAAAAATTTTTTCTGATATAAGGAGCCCTACCTCTTCCTGTCTGGACCTGAGAAAACAGTAGCTGACATTCTTCTCAGCAGGGAACTGACTCCTTGCACATTTTACCTTGCTTTGCCCCCTCTGGAGTAATAACCCTGCTCCTCTGACCAGCACTATCATCTTTGTCTACACAGGGGACAATATCACCTCAATACAGGATTTGGAAAGGATTTGATCAATCTGGAAAAGGGAGAAAGATCCTGAACACCCTGGATATCTACCTTGCTGGTCTACAACCAGGAACAGTGATTTTTCATTGGATGTCTTTCTTCCACAAGACTTAGTAACAGCTCAAATGATTTTTACCTGTGAAGCACTGTGGTGTATCTTTAGTTCTTCTAGTATCAGGTCTTTGGAATAGCTCGGGGAATCACTAGGGGCTTACACAAAATGGCTACAAAACAAGCAAGAGAAATAGAAATCAGAGTTATTTGGGTTTGTAGGAAGGACACCAAATGGCTGAAATGTCTACTGAAGTTGTTCAATGTTGCTAGCTCATTTAAAATTATCTCTTTCATGTTACCTATAACCACGAAGCATAACAATGATGCTGGGGTAGTGTGAGTGTTAATTTTTAATTATTCTGATGCTTACTCAAACTAGAGTCACCTGGAAAGAGAGAGTCTCAATGAGGAATTCTTTAGATTAAGTTGTCTTTGAGCACATCTTTAGATTAAGTTAGAGATTTATAGATTGTTAATCAGATGGAGATCTCACCCTAAAGTGTGCAGAAACACTTCATTGCTAGGACCTGAACTGTGTAACAGTGAAGAAGCTGGAACACATGCAGAGGCAAGCAGGCAGCATGGATGCATTTGTATCTCTCAGCTCTTGACTGTGGATGTGATGTGACTGAGTTCCTGCCTCGATATCCCCAAAATGGACTATTACCTGGACCTGTGGGCTAAAATCAATTCATGCCCTTTTGTGCTTGGGAAATTAATGTAAAGACGATGCTAATAAACCACCGTGTGTCACAGGGGTTTGCATTTGTCAGTGAGATGTGAAAGTAATTCATGACATGCTCAACAGCAGCATATCTGTCCCAGAGCAGGAGATCGTGTTTTTTCCTAAACCCAACATGTGTTTCTCTATCACAGATTTAAAAAGACACAGAGACACCCATTGACACAAACATCATCACCTTGTTAACAAATGGCTCTGGGGCCAGGTGGTGGTGGTGCACACCTTTAATCCCAGCACTTGGGATGTAGAGACAGGCAGAATTCTGTGAGTTCGAGGCCAGCCTGGGCTACCAAGTGAGTTCCAGGAAAGGTGCAAAGATACACAGAGAAACCCTGTCTTGGAAAAAAATGGCTCTGGGTAGTGTCTTTCCTTCTCAAGTGCCGTTCTAAATTCTTCTCATCTATAAAATAAAGCAACATTAACTTCAATGTAATGTACTGTTCTATGGGTTTCCTGACTATTAAAATTGGGGGATATGGGGAAATGGATCTGAAATCACAGTCAGATGAATATAAACCTTATGCTATGTCCTTCTTTGGAGGTCAGGAGAAGCTCCTTAAAGGACAGACCAGAGAAGCACCTTAACTACCAGGTATTGGGGGATGTTAGATATGAGTGGCAATGTCCACTAGTTACCTTAGGCCAGAGATTAACCCTAGGGTTGATGCACACACATCCCTGTGAAGACCTCTTGGTTGCCCTCTAATTCTGTGCTTCTTCAGCTAGATTTCTAGATCTTTGACAAACTTCCTTCTTCAGAGATAAATAGAACAATTAGAAGGGAAAAGTCATTTTGATTTTGTCCTTCTTTTCCTAGGACATGTGACAGTCCCTTCTGAACAACTTCAAAGGGCTATAGAAGAAGACAAAGGTCTCAGCCCAGGAACTGCAATAACCACAAGTACTGGGACAGAGTGCAGATCTGAGGAAAAGAGAGCAAAAGCCAGAAGTCCAAGGAGGAGACAGCAGGGACACTCATGAGATGCTGTTATGTGGTTGGCAGTATAGCCTCACTGTATGTGAATGTCTTCCACCTAGAGAAAGGAGGATGGAGATGGAGATAGGTGCTGCAACCAGGAACAGCTTGTAACATAACGTCCTTCATCACTGGTACTTTTAATAGCCACAGAAACAGGTCTTTTTAAATTATGGCCCACAAATTGCTAAAGGATTTTTCCAGCTCCCTTCATTCTCTTTCCTTTACCAGCTTATGGTTATTAATTTTATTATGTGGATTAATCCACAATTAACAAAGGTAGCACCCACAGAAGGCTCACTCGCATGCTCTTTCAAGGGTTGCATATATTAAATAAACAACACACAATAATTGAAAGTCTTGGCATTAAATCGTTCCTGAGCATTTTAACCACAGCATCCATAGTTTTCTATTATGTTAGAATATAAATAATAGACAGAGCACATGCAAATCACAGCATTTCACGTCAGGTAAAGTTCTTGCAAGGATACACACCATGAGAGCAAGCTCTCCTCCTTCCTCTGCTCTATGCCTTCCACTCTCAACTCAGTCAGTACAAGCCTATCATCAGGAACAAACTCCCAGAAGAACCCTTCCCTGAATATACACTTAAGAATCAGTCACTTCCACATCAAGAACACAGGGTTCCAAAGGACAGCACTCACAGGAATCAGTCAGCAGCTCTCCTCCAGTGGGAACTCAGCCCTCAGGGAGGGAACTGAGCCTCACCAACCATTACTGGATTTTCACATGGTGTCATGTAACTTCCTAAACTTCTGGGCCATTACTTCCTAAAGCAAAACATGTATGGCCTTGTGCATAATTCACAGGTAATCTGGACCAGCAAGGATACTGAACTTCAGGAAGCAAGAAGGAAAAAAGCACAGAGAGAAAAGGCAATTGTGATACTGACATGGATAGGAAGGATCAAAACTTAGGCTTTCTTTTCTACCCCTAGCGTGAAATCTCTTCTTAATGATTTCAACTTCTGGTCCCAAGGGCTAACATACATTGAGGAGTTTAGAAAAGAGGATGACCCACATCTTTCCAAGGTGTTCTACCATCTGCATGTGACACTGGACATTGTGTTCCACTGAAGACAACCAGGACAGGGAAGGAAAGGCTTTTGCTATTGTTATCATGTTAATGTTCCCTGAAAGAATCAGAACAGAGGCAGTAGGTATAAATTCATGTCCAGCCACTGGTCTCTCCCCCTGTGGCTAAGAGAGAAGCTGTCACCCTTAACATCCAGATAGTGTGGTGCCTACTACCAGATCCTAGACCCACTGAGTGAGCTGCAGAGGGAAGAGGTGGCTGGAAGTTCAGAGGGGCCCCAGGGAACTACTACTCACCCAGGCCCTCAGTGTGCTGTGGCAGTCTGAAGATGCTCTTCAGGCAGAGAATGGGCAGCAGTTGAGCCTGAATCTGCTTCAGTGAAGTGCGGAGGTCCTGGAATTTATCCTGACACTTAGTAGGGTGCACCTGGAGCAGCAGCTACTTTTTGGTGTCCCCAGCCTCCTTACCAAGCTGCTGCCACTTGCCTGGGCTCAGAGCTCCCACTGCCTTGAAGCATGGCCTCCACCCATGACCTGGGCCAGGGTCTGAGGCCCAATGCCTAGCAGTTCCTGGTGCTGAGGATCTACACTGTCTAACTGACCTGCCTCCCCTTGCCCAGCTCTTTGAGATGGCACCAGAGCTATCAGAGACCTTGGTGCTATGAGCTGAAATGGGTTGCTTCTTAGGGAACTGATAGCCACCAGGCAGCAGGGGCCATGGGCTGGATTCTGTGGGCCTGGGTCTCCAGAATTCCAGTGGTGCTCAGCAGGTACACCCTGGGATCCTAGGCATAGCCAAGATGACAAAAAAGGCAGGAGGATTGGAAGAGAAAGAGGAGGTGGAGAAGACAAAAGGGACCCTGGTGGGGATGGAAAACTTCATTGACTCATTCAATAAATATGCTGTGAGTGGCCACTTACTGCATGCTAGCACACTACCTAACCAATGAGGTTACAGTGGTAAATAGACAAACACCTACTGGAGTTGAATATACATAAATTAACAATAAATGAGACAGGCACACAGGTAGACATATAGTGGTTAGAGGATGAAAAGAGAATTTTCTGTACTGTAGGGATAAGATGGAAGGAACTTAAATGAGTAGGACCAAGTGGGAGAAGTTGAGACCATGGTATATAAGCAAAATCGAAGGAAACATAAGAAAAGCCTTGTTCAGCCTTGATACACAGAGGAGGGGCTCCATCCTGCCTGGACTGAATGTACCAGGCTCTGCTTACTGCCCATAGGATGAGCCCTTACACTTTTTGGAGGAGGGAATGGGGAGGGTGGGTCCAGGGAGAACCTGGGGGAGAAGCAGAAGGAGGGATGAGAAGGGATCTCTGGTTGGTATGTTAAATGAATAAAAAAAAAAGTCTTAAAAAAAACTTTGAAAGAAGAAAAGAAAAGCGAGACCCCCCAAAAAAATCAAGAATAGGAAGATGCTGAATTGTTCCATGTCACTGGCCTGCAGGGACAGGGACATAAAAATCTAAGTTCCAAGTCAGAGATGAAACAGGAGCCAGATCTATCTGTGTCAGGAGACACCGGCAGGTACTGTGAGTGGAACTGGAGGCAAGTGGGTTCTTGGTGAGGAACAGCAGTCTGACTTCTGTGTGGATGAATTCATCTAACCACAGGACAAGGCAATGGGCTTCCCTCACATTTGCCAGCTGTGATGATTGTGTTTATATAACATTGTTTTCCATGTAAGTGGAAATGGGATACAACTATGTAAATGATTGTGATACTGAGAAATGGCTGACTATGGCCTTGAGTATAAACCCATCACAGTAAAATATGTTCATCATGAATGTCAGCCCAAAAGAGAATTTGTTTTGTAAGTCAAAAATGATTATCTATTTTCAACATATGTCATGGTCTTACTTATCCTTTTCTCCTGTCTCCTTAATAACAGAATCCTAGCTGTTAGCACTCCCACTGTGACTTTGTAGAGTGGTTCATTTACCTTGTGCTACAGCAGCAGTAACAACAGCTGTAAACACATGCAGCAGAAGCAGCTGCAGCAGAGGCTGGAGCCTCTGGAGAGGAAGCAGAAGCATGAGAAGCAGAAACAGCAGAAGCAGGAGCAACAGCAACAGATGTGGAAGTGGAAGCAGAGGCAGAACCAACAGTTCAAGTAGTTCTGTGATCAGAATTCTCCAGTGTGACCTCTGGTTGCAGGAGTTGATATATACTCTCTTCTTGAGCCTTTAAGGAAAAATAAAGATGTGTTCTTTTTCATAAAAAGGAAATGTTATACTTCCATTCATTTTATCACTTGTCAATGCCATAGTCTTGATTTTAGTGCACAAATATCTGTGTATTCGTTTCAATTTTATCATTAGTGACCACTCACATTTTTTAAACTTTGCTTCATTTCTCTCGAGTAAGATACTCATGGTTTAATAAATCTCAAAAGCAGATATGACCACCTGGCTTTTAAAAATATGTACTTTGTTACCTAACACAGTCACAGCTCACATGTCTGTAGAGGTGCCCCAACTCCACAATTTCCCACAATGTTTCTGGCTACAGCTTCTCTGCTGTCTGGATGATATGGCAGCCTGGACCAGAGGGCAGAAGGTGATCTGTGGAAGGTGTAGCACAGCACGGGTCTTATTCATGGAAGCCGAGTGAGCCTGCACAGCTGGTGGAACCCCTGCGAACTGGCACTTCTCCCCTTACTTGCATCTGCTGCTCTTCTTGAATGCTTGGCACAGCCTGGTCTTGCAGTGCATGGAGGTGATGTGGGAGCCATTGCTCAGCTGCTGCTGCTGCAGGAGAAGGGGAGGGAGTGCTGGATGTGATTGGTGTCCTTTGAGGAATTTGCTCTCCTTGTTGACCAGTGCCATGGCACTGCCCCCTAAAGCCTCCTTGAGCTGGCAGCAGGGGTCCTGGCCACATGTACATGCTGTGACTCTGCTGCCCCATTTGGGGCGAATGGGAATATGGGTGAGCAGCTACCTCAACTTGGAGCTTGGTGGTGAGCACATGTAGGTTGCTAGACATGGCTGAGCAGTTAAGAGCTGTTCTTCCAGAGGGCCTCTGTGTGAATACAGACTCCAAATAACAGCTCACAAATATCTGTAAATCTAGCTGCAGGGAGTCTGTCACCCTCTTGACCTCTGTGGATACCAAATGTACATGGTACACAGACATACAAGAAGGAAGAACCTAATAAAATTGAAATAATAAAAATTGATTAATGTTTTTCTCATTCTAGTTTGTTGTTGTCATAGAATAATTTATGTTTACCTTAAAAACTGGAAAGAAATAATAAACAAGAAAATATACTAGAGAAATTATTGTTTCCTCAAAAAAATGTGGTTAAATCGAAACCTTACACTATAAATAGGCCAAATAGAGAAAATGGTGGTTGAGGTTGGGGATATGTAGACTTAAGCAAAGAAATGAAGTCTGTAATGATCTGTTATAGACAGCCTATAAAGAACTCTGCATAATGGAACTCCTATGGGAATTGATGCAGTGAGGACATTGTGGCTAAATTCTGAAATATAAAGCTTGGCTGAAGTCCAGAAATGACATGATAGGATTATAGTTGGAGTAATGACTTTCTCTGTAATTCCTGTCTTAAAGAATGCAAAAGAATATATAGGTATGTCATTATATTGAATGGGAACTAATCATTTATTACCTTTAATAAACTATTGGTCTATGATTGTAACTTTGAGAGCAATGGCCTAGAATGACTTGGTCAGATGAGGCAGAGTAGCTCTTGAAAACATCACCAGAACCTTTAGAACAGGTGCCCCTTCTTGTTGTAATTTCCATTCATCCTGTTTTCTTTAGAAATGGGCTCCTCGTGTTCAGGGGTACTTTTATATTTGTGTGTTCTCGACTGATTCTTAGACTCTGCACTAAGGTAAACCTCCAGCTGTCATGTGTAATATGACCTTTTCATATTTAAACCCCACAATGCCCCTGTTCACAATACAGGTCAGATCTAACCCTCAGCATAAGCATCTAGGCACAGCTGGGTATCTCACAACCCCCTGGTACTTTCTAACCTCAGATCAACAGCCATATAACTCACTTCATCTTACTCTGAGCATCTGTGAGGTCTGCTTCCTTTTTTTGTTATTCAAGCATGGAGCCTGGAAGGAAATAGCTTTTCTTATTACAAGTGGGCTTCTCCAGAGGTCTCTAAGCAACCAGACTTGGTCCTGCCTTTCCTCTCTGCTGATTGGCCAGAAGATCAAGATGATGAGCATTATGGGAAATCCTACATGTGTCAGTGTATTCCTGTTGTGAGAAGTAAGGTTGCTCAGAGCAGACACACAACAGAAATGTGTGTGTGCAGGTGCTTCCCAACACAAAAATGCCAACAGTTGCTTTGGAAAAGAGCACTCTCCTTGCTTGTCAGGCTTCAGGGGTGATGAACTGTATGTACCTAGCTTCTGAGCTTCTCAAATTCAGTCAGGCAGCTTCTCCCTTCCTGGAATGACTTCTACCTCAGACTGTCACAGCATTAGGAAGGTTGACAAACACTACCCTAGGGGGTCTTGTTTACTTGCAGATTCCTGTGCTTTGGCTTAGACCTTCTGGGCACGCCCAGTACTATATTAAACCTGCTTTTGCACACTGTCAAAGTTATCAGTAAGACTCCAGTGAGCCAGGACCCACTGAAGTCCTTCTATGAAGTGTCAAAGTTGCTTATTACTGCTTGCATGTGAGCTAGGAGAGCATCCCCCTACTTATATCTCAGGCTTTCCTATGCAGACACCCAGCAACTGTGTTCAAGGCCTTGGCTGTGATGGGTGGTAAGGGAGGGTTCTGCCTGCTGCAGGAAATCCAGGCTTGTCTGTCAAACAGAAGAGACTTTCAGCTCCCCAACTGCTACATCCTCTGGGAGCAAAGACCTGAGAGCACACAGGGCTAAGTCAGGCCATGTTTCCACAGATTGCTCTGTCAACTCTCTCTCCACTGTGAAGACAGGCTCTACTTCGTTTTATTTATATTATTGCCTGAGATAGGAGCTCAGGTAGCCCAGGCTTGCCTCAGACTGGTGATCCTTCTGCCACTACTTCCCTGGAGCTGGGATCAGTGGGATGTCAGCACAACCTCAAGCATGGTATCTCATTGGATGTTCCCTTCAGTGGCACCCCTTCATACCTGGTGACAATTTAGGAACCTCCCATAATTGGCAGCTGAATGACCTGTTAAGGGCGGGTGAAGACATACTGTTAGCAGCAAACAGTAATCCAAACAAAATGCAGGAGGTGCTAAATGGTAGTGGAATGTGCCACAGCTGGCAGGAAGTGAAGAGGAAAGACATTGTCTCCCCTCTACTGTCCCATCATTGTCAAATCTACCTCCTTTCTGGTCTCTGTCCATTCAGAAAACATCAGAGATGGGTGGGTCTCTTGTCATACACAGATCCAAGTCTCCCTCCTTCCTTTGTGTGCAATAATCCTTCCTGAACCTCCAAAGTCTTTGTGGCCCTCTCCCTAGCATCATTCTGGCAGCCTCTTCTTCTTTCATCCCTTTGTACAGAACTTGGAGGGAAATTTGATTTTCTTTCATCATTTGACTATTAAAGTGTTTGTCACTTTACAATACAGAGAGTTGCCTGGTGTGGAATTATGTTTTCAAAATTTTTATCACATTTATTTCTCTGTGTACTTGTGTGTATGGGCACAAATGTGAAAGAGCATGGTTGTGGATCAGAGGACAACATGCAGTCATTAGCTCTCTTCTTCCCACATGTTAATCCCAGGGTCATATGCAGGAGTTCTTATTCTGTGACTCCCTTGTCTCTGGCTGGGGTATAGACTGCTTACATCTAAGAGGAATGTGCAAGAGAGCAGAAGGCAGTGTGGGTTACCTGGACCAATTTTGAATCATCCAGAACATGTCGTGCTCATTTAGGAGGCTGTTAGCTCCAGTGAAGCAGGAGCAAGCCATAGAGACTGTCTAGACTTTCACTGAAAGGTTTGTGCTCTTGGAGAGAATAGGAGGTAGACAATAAATAACGATTAGCCAGGCATCTATAGGAGACATTTTGGTTCAGTTTGTGCCCAACAACAGTCTTAGCACATTTACAATTTCCAGATGCCCACATTCCCTTAACATGTTTTTCAGATGATGGTTTGATATTGGCCTTCTATGTGTCTTCAAGTTCTTGCAGACAAAGTAAAATAACAAAGTCCCAAATCACACAAATGGAACACACAGTAATGTATTTATAGGAGGGCACCAGATGGAGAGATTCTAGTGTAAGTGAGGAATGGGAAACCATATGTCCTAGCTTTATAGTGTGGGGACCTGACACCTCCACCTATATGCAGCTCAGAGAACAATTTGTGACTTTTCGCCCCTCTCCATCAATAAGGTAATTCTGATGGAAATAAATGCATGTCTACAAGCTTGTCTGCATTACTTTACCAGATTAGTCACCTTCCAGTTCACTACAACAACCACAGAATTTAATAAGCTAAGTATCTATATTCATGATCTCTGTGTAGAGATCTGTCCCTCATTAGAAATTTTCATCCACTAAATGAAGGTTTGCCACAGTTAACTGAGGGCAAGAAACAGAGGTCAGAGTATTTAAGAAGCTTCTATGAAACCTCCAGTTTTCTCTGTGCCACTTCATAGGACATAACAGGGTTAATGTTCCATCCCCTTCAACCCTAGTACTAAGATTGAACCTAGCACATTGCACATTATAGACAAGTAGAAAGTCCATGCTAATCTATCTGGTAGCATTTGTCATAAGAGCCAAGTGCTTTGCTGAGGACTTGCATGGAAGAAAGGCAAGGCCTAATATAGACTTCTTCCCAATGATGGATAGGTTGGACAGTGTGACCCATGACTCATGCTGGCGATTGGCAGTGTATGATGAATGAAGTCTCAGCTAGTTCCAGTGTGTCTACAGGTATGCTTTATTGTATCAGAGTCAGTTCAGAATGAGAAGATGACCAATGCCAGAGAGGAACTTAAATACTTCTCAAGCTAAAAGTTCTTTAAAATGATAGTTTCAAAGAACCAGACTGGAACTTACAAGGATAATTTCTTCATACTTTAATTTCTGACTCATTGTGAGTCTCAGGTCAGATCCATTGCAGGGGGAACTTCTGAAGTATAATGCCCTCATCTGGAAGAAACCTTTCCTCAAAACACAGTGTCATCTGCTGAGGTAAAAGAGTAGCTTCAACCATCCGTCTCCCTTTCATGCCTTGCACAGACATGCTGACTATCAGAGGCTTGTGGCTTTTGTTGCAGGCACCATCCACCCAGGCCAATATGAAGCTTCCTCTTGACACTGCTTAGATGCTGCATCAACAGGTTTTATTACCCCATCTCCATCTCCAGGAGGATCTTCTCAATTCTTCATTTCATCTGATGGGCCTCTTCTGTATTGTCACTTAGATGAGAGGTGACACAATTGCCCCAACTCTGATAGTAAGAGATGCTGAGGGATGATTCTGAGTCCTGGAGCACTCTGCTTGAATGCCTGGCGTCCCAGGACAGTCTTCCATGCCTCCCTCATGGATTTCTCCCTACAATTGTTCAAAAACATCTCTCTTTGATTGGTTGTGAACCAGTGCCTCTAACACACTAATACACTACAAAGGCTGGAAGGACAAAAGTCAAGTGCAGGGGCTGAAGAGATCACACATCCTTTAAGAGGATGGTGTATCTCTCCCAGAGGACCCATAGAGTAGCTAACAATCTTCTGTAACTCCACTTCAAGGTGGAATCCATTGCCCTCTTCTGGCCTCTGTGGAAATTGCATGCTTGTGGTGGCTAGAAAGCATGCAAACTACCCCTACACATAAATACAGGTAAATGAATCTAAACAAATTAGTATGAAATCAATAGCCATGGCAACAGCACCTAAAATACCATGTCTCAATATGTCCTAGAATGTTTCAGTCTCTATACTGTGGCCATCACTGGTGCTGCAGTTCAAGGAAAACAGAGGCAAATAGCTAAAGGATTTTTTTAAATTTCTTTATAATCCTGTATTGAATGTTCTCACTTCCTGAGATGAATTAGAAAACATAGGTGTCTTTCTCAAAATATGATGTGAATGATCATATCATGAACATATGTGTATCTAGACTGTGGGTTTTTGTTTGTTTGTTTTTGTTTGTTTGTTTGTTTGGGTTTTTTTTGAGCAGCTAAACATTTAATGTCAGATGTAGAATAGGGTCATTTTTTTATCATGAAGTGGGTATCTGTTGCAACAAACTTTGTGTTCTGACAAATGAAGCTTGCTTGGAAATCAGAGAGTGGAGCTAGCCACTGGTTAATTATAGAGGCCAGGAGGTGTTGGCACACACCTTTAATCCCAGCATTTGGGAGGCTCAGGCTTTTGATCTTAGCACTTGGGAAGATCATGCCTTTGATCCCACTACATTGGAGGCTCATGCTTTCTATACAAGCACATGACATGTGGAGACAGGATCTCTGCATATGGTCTGAGGATTCATAGGAGTAAGAAGTTTCTAGTGGCTGCTGCTCTGCTTCAATGATCTTTCAGCTTCTACCCTCAGTATCTGACCCTGGGTTTTTATTGTTAAGACTCCACTTGATGGAGTCCACACCCAAGGCACCATCTCCCTTTGTAGCCCTATCAGGCTGGGAACTCACAATGTATCCAAAACTACCTGGAATTTTCAGAGATCCATCTCTCCCTGTTGAGTCCTAGGGTTAAAGGAGTGTGACACCACACTTGAGCCAAAAAGCTGGATTAAGAATGAACAGTTGAAAGTTGCTTTTTATTTATGAAAATACAGTCATTTGACTCAATGGTGGCTTAAACAGGCATTCAGTATCTATAGTGTATAGCCTTCGCAAAATATCAAATCAAGGAAAAAACAAAAGAAAGAACCAAAAAATAAAATAACATCAAATCAAAACAAATAAAACCAAAACCTCAATGCAAGAACTCCCAAAAACAAACAAAAAAATTTACATGAAGCAGAGTTCTCTTCATGATGATTTAGTGGCACTGTCCTAAACTCTGTGACTGATTTAGGACATAGAGTAGGAATGAAGCCACAGATAGTAATACCCTTTTCAAGACAAGTGTAGCCATGACATTTGGGGCCTTTGTATGTTAAGCACTTGCCAAGGTTGATCCTATGCTATGTTGGCCACTAGATGATTCTTTCAGGCAACATGTGTCTGTGTTCCTTGCCTATTCAAGACCAAAAAAGGACATGAGGAGCTCCTGCTATCCAAAGACATAAAAGCTCCCAGTGACACCACATCAGAATCCTTTCTCAGGACAGTTCACTTCAGTCAAGGCTGTGACACAGGAAAATCTGCAGTTGATTTCCTAATGGACAAAAGAAATGACTAAGATGACTAGCAAGGGATTGTTGTCATCTCTGTAGAGCATTAACTTCAGCGTCACAGGTGCATGACATGCAGTAGCTTTGGCACTGGACTGGAGTGAGAAGATGATGTTTCTTGGTTTGGGATGTCTGGATAGCAGGATGACTTCAACACAGTCTACCTTGACATGTCTCCCTCCACATACAAAGTGCCGAGGACTCAGTCAGCTCATCAAATTTCACAGCAAAAACTTTTCAGAGTAACTGTGAGCATAAACAGATCCTCCCTCTATGTTGCTGTGCCCCTCACCAGGACCACTTGTTGGTGGATGTCCGCATTCTGCATTGTTCTTGGTGTGTTTTTTTTATTTGTAGTAGGAAGATTTCCTGTGTCCCACCTGCCACTCAACAAATCTCTCCCACTCGTGTTCCTCAAGTAAACACACAGAGGCTCATATTAATTATAACTGCATGGCCATGGCTCAAGTCTTCTGCTAGCTAGCTCTTATATCTTAAATTAGCCCTTAACTATTAATCTGTATATCACTATGGTGATACTTTATTTGTACTGAAATGTGATTTTAATTTTATGTTAATAAATAAAGTTGCCCTGGGGTCAGAGCTATTAGAGCCATAGCAAGAGTGTGGTGGTTAGAAGAGCTAGGTAGATTTCTGTGTGTTCAGGGATACAGCCAGTATTGGAGACATAC